TTTTATTGGTTTAAAACATTTTTTGCCGCTTTTGCGTTCACTATTAATACATTTTGAAGAAGCAATTAAAAATGCTGGAGCATTTGAAATAAATATATATATATATATAATTTTTTTTAATACTAGACAAATCCAATAATAAGTCACATTACGAACTAAACACTGGTTTCCCAAAAAAACTGATGCATACAATAAGAAAGAGTTTGTGCTCACTGTGAGAAATACTTCAAAAAACCCTTTCAAAACTCGTTTTACATTTTCCAAAAGTGTCTAAAAAGCTCAAACGCAGGTGTTCAGACAGTCACGCATCTGTTGCAGCCGAACTCATATTCAGCTCGGACCAACATACTACTCGTATGAATAATGTTCATTATTGCATTTTCGCACATTCTTGTCATTGCAGTTATTGTTGCGGGACGCGTGTAAAATGAAATAACCTACATTATCAGGGCTGTGTTAAATGCATAAATGATGCTTTATGAAGATGAAAATGTATAATAAAGCTAAAGACACACGCATTTTGAGTGTCATATCAACACAAGGCGTTTCTGAACGATTCAAACGGAAAGATTGACCGAAAACCGAACAAAATATATCATTCACAGAGAGAGAAACGCGGTTAAACAAAAGAGAGATTGTCCTCCGGCAGGAGCGCAGGCTGGGGGGAATGTGCGTTACACAATATCGATGTGTTTGTTGAGCTGCTCCGTAAATAAAGACAAACTAGCTAACGCTAGCCTACTGTAACAAACAGCGGATAACGCGTCGCGTAAACGAACGCGTCCAAACAGCGAGAGCGAATGTATCACTGCGCCAAACATTCACAAACGCGGTAGAAATAAAGACTTGTGTTACCTGTCAGTCCGGTCGGATTTGCGGTAACGTTATTCCTTTGCTCCAATGACAAGCTCCCGAATAGGATAAATCCGTTTCCAAATCCCCCGCGGCAGAAACGAGCTTTATAACCCCATTTAATAATATCCTCATCAGAATAAAAACGCGCAGCGTATTCTCTGAAGTGTAATTTCTCTTCAACTGGTGTTTTTTTATTGACACAGGTGCGGGCCGTGCTTGTTTTCTTTAGGAGAGCGCGCGGACGGACCGAGGACGCCCCACGAATATAAATACGTTACCGGTTATTTGGAGGCTTAATATATTCAGCCGTGTGAGGGACCGGTTTCAAAATGGCGGCCCGCGTGGATACTTTTCAGCGTAAAAGTCCTGATGGTTCGCTAGCGCGATTGAAAATAAAAGCCCTCGGTATTCTTCCTAATTAAAACGATTCAAGACTTTTTAAAAAAAAATTTTATAATACTTTATATTTTCTCTAATAGCACACGTACGTCACGGAGACGTCTATTTGACATCTGCAAGAAGTATTTTTTAGAGCGTTTGCTCATCTGAAATATGTCTATAGGACGCTTCCTATCAGATGTCAAGTAGACGTTTAGAAGATGTCTTTGAGATGTTTATGATTTAGAATGTATGTATAACTGACATCTTAAAGCCATCTATCAGATGTTTGTACACTGCAGATGCTTTCCAGATGAAGTGATCTTTAACAGACATCTTGCAGACGTACGTGTGCCATCTGGGTAAGTTACATTATAACACCAGTAGGTGGCGATTGTCTGTCCTTTGAATATTATGAGTGCATATACTTCTTCCTTCTGATTTTTCCATTCATATTATTTAAAAACACGTGTACAAAGAAACTCTAGAAAAAGTACAGAATTACAAGCGACAGTATGCAACTATGTCAGGGTAGCAGCATATTTAATTTTTGATTGTTTGGCCCTTCTCACCGATTACATAATTTAAGACCTACTCTGGGCCCTTTTGAAGATTTTTTTTCTGTTTGTTTCTTTGTTTGGTGATGTTTTGCATTACTTATTGCATTATTTAATTATTTAAAATTTTATATTGTCTTAATGCTTTTGTTGGTTGATTTTTTTCTGATGTTTTGGTTGTGCAGCACCTTGGTCAGCATTTGTTGCTTTTAAGATGCTTTATAAATAAACTTGACCTTGACCTTGACCTTTGACTGGAATGAAAATGAGGCTTATTTTTCCCATAAGAGCGGGTGCCATTAGTAAATTTAATGCGTCTAACTTCCGGTGTCATCCACTTCTAGCTATTTTTAGCTGTACAAAACAGCTTTTTTTGCAGCTTGTTCAGCTGACGAAACATTTTGGAAAAAAACCTTTCCGTAGAGTTGTGAAAATTATGTGACCTTTATACATTGCGTGCCATTGTAAAATGATGATGCACTTTCGAAGCACTGCTTCATGAAACTTCGAAACCTTTGCAAATCATTATTTCGGACCATTGGTTCAAAGTCACGTGATTTCAGTAAACAACCCTTCCTTACTCCACAACTCTTTAGAAATTTGAATGGTTCACTGTAGGGGGACGATGATCTCATGATTCACAGTTTGGCGAACCGTTGAACCAGTGTCTATGCTTTTTACCTGATCTCAGTTCAGTTTGATACATTTGCAGACATTTGTGTAATTATAAGGAAGAGTAATAGTTAAAAGTCTCTTAGACAAGCAAACATAACAAGCCCTGCAAAAGAATATAAAAGAACGCGTTATACAGACACTTCATCATATTTAATAGTATTTGATGATTTGTTAATTGCATTTATTATACTTTAAATAAAACATTTGCAATGTGTCTGTAAAAGTTGTTTTATGCATGTTTTGGCCAGAGTTTGCATTGCATTTACTCAGTTTTGACCAGCAGCTTCACCAGCGTGTAGAGCGCTTCGCTTCGAAACAGTGAATCATTTTGCGAAGCAGTTGATTCAAAGCTTCGCAAAGGTTTATTCTCCCATCAGTATGTAAATCTATCCCTCACAGCATTTACATTCAATATAGTGTCTAACCAGTATTATGGGAAGACATTTATTTATTTAAAAGTATTTATTTATTTATTAGAAAGAAGTTCTACTACTGAACAAGCTCAGAGCTGATCTACAGAAGGTCTTAAAGTTTATACTTCATTGCTAAATATCTTTATCTTTAAAGAGAAAATTAACGAGATGCTGTCATCTTGACAATGAGTCTTGGCAGAGATGATTTGATTTGAAATTAAGTATTAATAAAGAATTCTATGACAGAAGTGTAAAAATGGAAAATCTCTTAAAATATTTTAATGTAAAGCAAAATGTACAGCCATTATAATGTTGCAGTGTTTATATAATCATACAAATAGTGACTGATTTCTACCTACAATCAGAAAACATAAAATCAATAACACTCAATAAATGAAATTCTCCTTATTTTCATGCAGGTTTGTACCTGCTTATTCTGAAACCTGAGCAACAGCTAAATCTGTCTTTTGTTGTTGTTGTTGTTGTGATGGTTAAAAAAGTCACAAATTAAATGATGTCCTTTGTGGCAATCAATAACACTCAATAAATGAAATTCTCCTTATTTTCATGCAGGTTTGTACCTGCTTATTCTGAAATCTGAGCAACAGCTAAATCTGTCTTTTGTTGTTGTTGTTGTTGTTGTGATGGTTAAAAAAGTCACTAATTAAATGATGTCCTTTGTGGTGCCGCTAAAAGATGACGGTTTTATCATCCAAACAGGGTCCAGAGATCAGAGCCACGTGATCCAGACCGATCTCTCCGCTTACTGACCTCCCACGCTCGGCCTCAAAGATGATCTGAAGAAACAGACACACCGTTTACATTAATAAAGATAATAAGCTGGAGAACATTAAAGTGACAAAACAATTAGACTCTTTTCACCATTCAGTGAATTCAATGTGATTTTTTGTTTTTGTATTGTTTGTAACCTGTTAGAAAAAGTCTGTATTTCTACACTCTTAATATGTAAAAATACAGCACAATGTACCGTATTGAAATGAAGGAATTTTCTGTATTGATTTTTTTTACCTGCATTTTGAATTTTGCACTGCATTGTGTTTTAGGGTTAATGGAAATGTCCATGAAATTAATGGATAATGTCTTGGGGGGAAAATTACCACCAGTACTTTTTTTTTTTTTTTTTAAGTGTAGTTATAATATTTTAATAATACCTATGTAAATATATACTTATTAAAATGTAAAAAATATTAAAGTGATTAAAACAGCAATAGAATTAAAAAAAATGAATCTTAAATATTATTAATATTTTTGTGTGTGTGTACATACATACACACACATACGTACAACTATATTATTAATTATTACTTCATAATAACAGTATAATTATAAATAAATAAAATAATAAAAATAAATAAAATAATTCATATTTTCTGTACACACACAACTATATAATTCGTTTATTATTACTTTATAAATACAGTTTATATTTATCAATTTATGTTTGGTGCTGCTAGTGCAAAAAAAAAAAAAAGATTTTCTTACTCTATATTTTTGTTTTCTAGTGCATGAAAATTGAGATGCAAAAATGACTTAAGATATTAAATCTTGTTTCCTGAAAAAAAAATAAAAAAAGATTTTATGTTTTAAACAAGAAAAAATATCTGCCAATGTGGTTAGAAAAATAAACTTAATTCAAACAGAAAACATTTTTTTCTCATCTTTCTTGTTTTAAGCATAAACTGACTTAATTTTGACAGATTATTCAGAAAACAAGAATTAAGTAAATGTATCTTGCATCTCAAGTAAATTTATTTTTCTTGATTTAAAAATGTTTATTTATTTGTACTAGAAAACAAGACAAAAATACAGAGGAAGAGCATTCTTTTGCAGAGTGGCTCAAATATTACACACTGCAGTTTAAAGAACTTTTAGAAAACAATGTATTTGCTTCACAATTTGTAAATCTCACAGGTCAGGCTGGATAACTGTAACTCACGGCCTCTGGAGTGTTTTCTGTCCAGTTAATGGTGATCTTCTCTGACTGCCAGCTGTGCTTGTGAGGGCTTCGTTTCTCCCAGACGGCGACGGCGCTGTTGTCCAGCTTCACCCGTAAGACGCCCATGTTCTGCCCCTGAATGCGATAATCAAATTTCAGACAGAAGCTGCTCTGACGCATGTAATCATCCAGCAGCAGCTTCATCCGCGCCTGCTCCCTCCTGTTCCCCACAGGACCACCGAGGGCCAAGTAATATTCCCGTCCTGAAGAACCAGAGAAAGAGCCACAATCAAGATTTATGAATTTATTCAGATTTTTTGAGCATGCTTTTAGACTGTAACACAGTATAAAAAAAAAAAAAATTATATAACCAACAACAAACCACAAGGAAATGTTATGCAATACTTATGTGTCTACAAAAAATATGTGTATATATTTATTAAAAATCCAATATTAGTGACAAATGACACAAAATGAACAACATAACTGTAAATAATTATTAATATCAAATATATTAATTGTTTAATATTATTATACTATTACAGTTATATTATTATAGTACTATTTAATATATCAAGTAATATACTTACTATAAGTACTATTAAACATATATGTGTAAATTATTTAAATTATAGTACTTTTAACAGTACTTTTAGTATTTAATATGTAGTAAAAATTAAATCTTAACGTAACTAAAATAACAGCTTATTTATAAATTAAATCAATGTTAAAAATGTTAAATAAATATTAATATCTTCGTATGTACTGTATATGTATATACAAATATATTAATTGTTAAATTACTATTATGTATGTGTGTGTATATATACAGTGGGTACGGAAAGTATTCAG